CTTATTTATATGCATCCTCCCAGTAAATATTTTATTAAGAATCATCATTCTTAACATCTATTAAAATATACTTTTAAAAAAATAATATTTTAGAAAGCTGCTAGAGATTATAAAATGTGTTTTTTCTGCAAGATATATTTTTTTGCCCGACCTGTGCCAATACAGTCTTTTCCTAGACTACTGTTTTGTGGGGTTTCTTTTACCACTTTTAGTACATTTTAAAATTTTAATTTTATAGGTTTTGAGTCCAAGTTAACTACAAGAGGTCCAAGTAATTTCAAGATTTACTGTGGAAAAGGAGCCAGATTTTTATTTTTGTCTTCTGGGGAAGTTTATGGTAGAGTGAGATAAACATCCAAAATAGTTAAGGTTGTTTATCCTGCATCACTTAGAAGACATTCTTGACATCACTTGTATACAACTGAGCAGGGGAGCTGCTCAATCAGTGCTGACAGAAATTAAACCCAGATCACCCAGCCTTGGGGCATACAGACCTTACTTCACTGTGATAGAATCTGCTTCTGTTGGGATAAAATCTGAACTGCTCATACAGCTCCTCTTGTCACAAGCCAAATTTTGGTGCATAAATGCTCCTCCTCCAGTTTTGTCCTTCCAGAGACGCAGTCATTATTTCAGGACACTTTTAGCTCACCATAACATATCTCTGTAGTGTCTTTGGGCTTGCAAGAGGGAATGAATATTGCAAAAAGAGTCCACTGCCATGCTTGTCTGGTGTCATGACTTTACTATTGGTCCCAAATCTGCAAGTTTTAGGCTTGGAGAGCAGGAATCCTGGAAGCTACCAGCAGGTAACTCAAGGCTACATAAAACTTCAGAAAAATTTCCTGCTGGTTTTAGTGTTTTAGTGTTGCCTGCCTCAAAGTCACCCCATGACAGTAGGAGGAGGAAGACATGCTGAACATGAGGAGATTGAAAAGGCATTTCCCTGAAGCAACTGGATGTGACAGATTTGCCCTTGGCTAGGCAAAAAGCTAAGAAGGGGTCTTGGCTGCGTTGTTCAGTGGTACTGAAATCCACTTTGTCCTTTACCTTTGTGGAGCATGCCCCTAGGTTTGGTAGCATATATGCTGTTCTTTGCATGAGTATTGATTATAAAGATGTTTATTCCATGTATAAAAAGATTGTTGTGCCCCTTAAAAGCTGTTCTAAACCCATTCTGCAGGAAAAAAAGGTCTGTCAATGGGCATTTTCTTTCCTCTGATTCTTATCTTATGCACTTATAAGCCCAAGCTACTCACTGCAATGGAAATATCTGTGATTTGCAGCGCAGGACGAGTTCTTTGTTGGTAGATATGCTAGTAACAAACAGGCTGAGGGACGCACTAACTCTCATACTTGAGTAAAGGAAAGCTTGAGCGTGACTCACTTAGGAATGCTTTGTACTCCCCTAATTGCATAATTACCTTAGAGACCTCACTGGCCATTTGGCATAGAGGTCACGCCTGCTTCCTCTGAGCACAGGAATAACTCCTCCTAGGGTCTCCTAGCAGGATAAAAGGGAGATGGAAGGAAGACGTATGGCTGTGCTCCCGCTTTTTTTCTATATAATCCAGGAGCAGTATTTGTGCACAACTGCAAAGTCCTTCATCTTCTAAAGTGAGGATGGAAAAGTTGACCATTACTTAACATAAATGAGCACTTTAACCTTTGCACTGAGACAGTATCTGTATTGAAAGGGATAGTGTGATATTCTAGGGCGTTTGCTACTGGTACTTCTGACATCTGAGTTCTAATAAACGAGATTAGAAATAAAAAGATGGGGATGCCACAAGCACAGAAGTCTTCCCCACTATACTCATATGCCATCAAATTAGTCTGGCTGCGAAGCAAATTAAACAGAGCTCTCCCCAATACTTTGTTCTCAAAAAAAAAAAAAAAAGAGAGAGAAAAAAGATATGAATAATATAGATACTATCAACAATTGAAGTCATACAAAGCACGTAATAAGTAAAGTGAAGGGACCTGAAAGTTCCATGAGAAAAATGGAAAATTAACTTGCTAGTTGCTTTAATGGAATTAAAGGAAGATTTGGCTGGAGATTTCTCCTGGACCTCTAGCAAACTCAACAGTGCGGTTTCAGTGCTCAGTCCATGTGTAGAACTGGTAAAGTAAGTAACTCTGCAAGATGGAACAAAAGAAGAAAAATAGAAAAGAATGATATAGATAGTTGAGGAGGAGATATTTAAGTACAACTATCTTTAGTCGCCCTGATGCTGTCTTGTTCTGGAGAATGGCTGGAATTTTTGGTGCCTCTTAACCTTTTTATTAATGTTACCCAACAGTATATTTGGAAGCTAGAATTCTCCTTTGCAGATTGGTGATGGCATTGCTATGTAGTCAAACATTCATCCCACTCTCCTCTTCATTACACCTATGAATTTACCATCCTTCATTGCACGCTGGTGCATCTTCCATTCAAAGCAGCTAAAGCACATCTTCTCCTGTCCCCCTTACAGCCCACCAGCTTATACCCCCTAACAAAACATCTAAGTTACTTTATTAGCGTAAACTTTGGTGTCCATGGGCTTCGCATGTGTAATTGGATTGGCAAGAGTGTTTAAGATTACTCAGTTGTTTAGAGGTTCGTGATGGCTACTTAAATCTTTCCTTCTTTTTTATCAGTGTCATTTTAAATAGTGGGAAGTAGAGCATTTTAATGTCGACTGAGGCTGCATTAGCTTCCCCTTTCTGTGAGAAACTTCTGCTTAGAGGGTTCCCAAAGTGAAAGTGTTTGCAAGAGAAAACATAGCTTGGAGACACTCACATCCAAGCCTGGCTCTGGTGAGTGGAGCTGTTCTGGTATAAAGGGAGCATCATTCTAAAGCAAGAGAAATGTTTTGGGGAGAGGAAAGAAAATGAAAGATATTGATTCCTAAGCTGAAAGAAAGCTGCTCAGCAATTTATCAGATTGAAAGTTAATATCCAAGACTGATTCCGTTCTCACAGATAGATATCTGAAGTATGGACTTAACTAGACCTTCATCTAACTAAACCCAACTGAATTCAGAGGAAAGTCAGGTTCTGGTTCCCAACTGCCTTTGTTATCAAACAAAAAATAGGCAACACCTCTGCTCTTCGCATGCTTTTTTGAATCATTCTCCTGGAGCATCAAGGAGTTGGCATGCCATAGTGCGGGTGGCTGCCCTGGGCATCAAGGAACACCAGACAGAGTCTATAGTTAAACTTCTTGCATTAGAATGGCGTCAGAGGAAACTATACAGAAAATGCAGTCCAGGAAAGAGTTCTTAGAAGATGAAGTAGGGATTAAGCCAGAACCTATTTTACCATTTGCTAAAACGCTCAGTGCATTTGCCTTCATGGATTCTGCATTCCAGAGGACTGCATGCTGGGTTAATAAAATCCCTCTCTTGAACAGGCTTTGGAAACTCAGACGGTCACTGACTGCCCATATGGCAGAATTTGGCTATTGCTATTAGACAGCTGCAGGAAGTTGAGTACAAGAAAGGGAAGACAGCACCAAAGTCTTATGAACACATAAACATATAGAGAGACACATGACTTTGCCTCATGGCAGGAGCTTCCAAAATATGTTCTCCGTCGAAATGCCAGGATCCTCTTTTGTTTTTTGTTTTCTTTTCTTTCAGGAACTGCAATTTGCACTTCTGCTTTTCTTAGGTGATGTGTATGTGATTTAAACCCTCATGCACCCTGAGCTTAAGTTTCAAGAGCATTTTAAAACAATTAGCACACCTACAAGAAAAATAGCAAATCACCACATTTCCGTTGCTCACAGACTCAAAGGGAGATTGAGTTTAGCATTCTTCCTTAGGGAAGAAATGACATGCTCCCCAGTAGCCTAATGCCAAACTACTGCTCTCTGTTTTGAGTAGCAAATGCCATTCTTACTGCGTCTAAAAGCCCAGACTGTGTTTCTTTTCTTAACATGAAATTGTGTATTTTGGTACTGCTCTCAAACAACAGTTTAACAGAACAAAGGAGTTATCTTTATGAGACAGCCAGGGAAATGCACAAAGAACAGGAAGATGCAGCTAACCTAAATAATGACATTGAAAACAAAATAGCTATTGGGCTATAAATAAACAATATGAAGTAAATATAATTATTTTTATTAAGAGAAGACACAGACTTAATTCCTGCGGATAATGACATCTACTGTTTTCTCAGACTTCTTTAGTTCTCATTTTTTTCAGTCAAGCCACAGAATAACATTTCCTACTTTCTTCAACTTTTTACAGTATGAACTTTCATAGCACTTCTTCTGGAGAAAATTGCAAAACTCAGACAAATACATTTAGGAGAAAGGTCAGATTTTCTAAAACAATAAAATTGCCCAAACTGCTGTTTTTGAACTGTGCAAATACCTGCATTCTTACAGAGCAGGGAAGTAAACATACACATGACTGCATTAATTAAGACAATGCTTAGTTTCCTGCAACCCAAAGGAATTTTCTTATTTAGACTAAGTCTTTAACGATGTGATCTCCCATTGTGTGTATGTGGGTGTGCAAAGCACCAACTGCAATTTCACAAAAAGGCAAGGGCTGGTCCTGATGAGGTGGGTGACTGGGGAAGGAATTAAATAATCCTCTAAACCAAAGCCAGAATCAACTTTCTGAGCGCCAGATTCGGTCACTCCAAACTTCTCACTTTCTGTAATACAGTCCTGAACGACCTCAGCATAAGTGTAATTCACGTGTTTTTTTTTTTTTTTTTCCTGGGGATTGTCTTGTTGAGTATCTTGGGCAGGAAACTGGCCTGCTCTGTTGACTTATGAGATTTAAAATAAGCACTCACATTTCCCCCTCCCAGTCCTGGCCAGGGGGCACTGGGCTGAATCACTTCCCCGGTGGAGGCAAGAACCGTGCGAGAGCAAAGCACTCGTGAAGTGGCCGAGTGATTGGGAAATGCTCTCGGGCTCACAGATGGTCAACAAAACCCGCGACCGGCCCTGGCGAAACGTCAGGGCATGGTACCAGTCCCCATCCCTCAGGCTTTACCTGCTGCTGGGCGAATGGCTGGGGGGGATGTCCTGCACAAAGCTCTGCTCCATGCCTGGGATCCTGGCCGGGCTGTGGGGATGGTAGGCTGTCAGGACCACGCTGCCCGAGTCCTTCATCTCCATGGTCATAGGCGCATGTCGGCCCTGCTGCCGGTGACAAAGGCGACCGAGGAGGGTGCTGACAGGCCCCGATGGGAGGCCAAGAGGTCCTGTCACGAGCGGGAGTGCATGTCCTGACTCCGTAGCAGCCTCTCGCCACCGTTTGCTGTCAGGAGAGCTGTGTAACTGAGACACGGCTCCTCTCCCTGTCAGGAAAGCTGAATTAGCATATATTCAAAAACACCGCCCACCAAACAACCCACAGGGAAGTTACTACGTTCCTAGGAAACTAGAAACCTGAGTAATCCAGCGCGGCACCGAGCGACCGCCGGGGAAAACTTCTTGCTTGCTTTCTTTTTGTTTCTTTTTTAAGAGTCAGTTTCTTAATACTCCTCCTGCTCTTGAAATAGGCTCGACTAAGTGAAATTCTTTGCCAGTTAAGCAGCAGGATGAGTGGAGAGCACTACTCAAACACAAAACGTGGTTTGGCAGAGCAGGGAGTGACATTTAAGCTGCTTACACGAGAGATTCAGAAACCCAGTAGGGTCTGCTCTGTTTAAATAATCAAGGAACAGGAACCTTGATTTCCTACATACTGGATCATTTCTGTGGCAGGGAACTGCACTTGCTTTCTTCTGAAAACAGATTAAGCTTTTGTTTTGCTCTATATGGCCATGCACATAATGAGAAGGGCACTGGGAAATGAGTGAATTATTTTTACAATAGTGCACATTCATCTGAAGCAATCCCATAAATAAATGCACTCTGAGGTGCTTGATATTTTTTCATGCTTGTGCTTGATGTTTGTGTGCTAAATGAATGTTTTTCTCTCAAAACAAAAAACAGCAAGCAAAAATATTGGGGTCTAACTCTGGAGTAACGCCCAGGGAAGACTTTGCAGAGAAAATGAGAAAACTCACAAAGCCCTTTATTTTCCTCTCCAACTTCTTCAGGGCATAGGGATTTTTTGGAAATAAATGTTTCCAATAAATGTTTGCTCCTGAAAAATATTGTCCTGTCCATAAAATCATGGGAAGGATGTCCCTAATTTTACTCTACAACCTACAGATCTCTGAGGGTCTTGTGAGCACATGGGTGAAACACCAGCCCCTGTGCACCTTTGTCAGAGCTGCGGGCGGCATCCCCAGTGTGGGTACTGTGCAAAATGCCTCTCAGGCTCCCCTTTCACACCCCCCTCGAGGGAAGGTGCTCTCCTAGCACTGCTATAGGGGCTACCTGTTGGTCTCTCTAACCTAGCTCTGAATTAGCTCAGGTTTTGAAGGGTACAAAAATGAGTCGCCTCATCTCCACCTTCCCCCTGAGCTCCGTATCCTGCCTGGAGGGGCAGGACGGTTTCAGTCAAATATGTTGCCGCAACTCATGTAGGCAGTGCCCAAGTTAATTTTAAATTAACCAGTATAGGACACTGATAACAGTAGACTTGGCAGCACTTCTTGCCAGACTCACCCAGGAAGCATAAATATTTGAACATGCAGAGCCTCTAGGCTTGCTCTTGCTACGCTGTTAACATGTCCTGGATTAAATATTTTAAAGCCAAGTTTCACAGGATAAAATCATGGCTGCTTCCATGGCAGCATGGAGGCCCTCTGGGAGCACTCATGCAGCCATATGTTAGAAACAAAGGAGAAGGCTCTAAGCTAACTCTGGAAGCATTGCCTATTGCCCATGGTACCTCCAGGGAGTAGCAGGGTGAATGCAATGACCAGTGAAGACCTCATTGTGCTCTGTGATTACTGGAGTATTCAGGAGAGGAATAGGGCCCAAAAAATTAGGACCCTAATCATGGATCTCATATCCCAACTCTGTGGAGCACTGACTGAATGTCAGGCTGATGCCTGGCTGCTGGATGAGCAGGGATGCTGCTGATTATGTAATTTTTTTTCCCTTCCTACCCTGACTTTACATTCCCCTTGCTCGACCAGAAGGTGGGTATCCCACTTCTCTGTAAGGTGGTAAATTAGAAATATAAATTTATATTTGGATCAAGTGTAAATACACACATAAACATTTATAATAAGTTATAAAATATCTGCTGGCACCCTTTAAAGGCATCCTCCACAATTACTTTCAAGAAACTAAACATGTGAAGAAATACACATCGTGGAAGGGACCAAACACCATCAGAAATAGAGTAGGTGTCCTTTAGGAGATCAGGCTGCAGACAAAGTATTGGCTGCAACTCTAGGAAAGTCTTTTTTTCTCTCCTTCCTAGCATCATACCACTAGGCTTTCTCCAGTACCATCAGACAACAAAATGATGGTTATGCACTTTAGGCTGTGTGTAGATAAAGCCCACAGTAGGAATACTGTGTATTTTTAGTATTATTTTTACTCTTCCCATAATAAAAAAAACAATAATCAAACACAAATATGACTTAGAATGACCCTTTCAATAGTAAAATAAAGAAAAGAGGCCCACACATTCAATGGGATTTTCTCTCTAAGAAAAATAAACATGGAAGATTTTATTTGGAGATTTATAAAGTGCTGGGGCATAGACTGGAGGCTTGTATGGAAATGGCAGTCTGTTTGGCACAAGTACAAATAGATATTTTGAAAATTAATCAGCTAAAATACATATATCAAATTGAGAGCTAAAAATGTTTATATGCATAATGGCTCTCGGGGTTAGACATCTGCATATTAGTGAAAACTAAAAACAATGCTAAATCAGCTAGAGATACACATCAGCCACTAAACAAAGTTTTAAGTGCCATAGGAAAAGCTTACAAAGCAATATAAGCCAGATTCTGTCTTCAGTCCTAGCTGTGCAATTCTGTTAGTTAGGGGAGAATTTATTCTCCAGGTTTCTAAAGAAATAAGTAAGAAAATATTTTAATCCAACATGTTTGTGTTTCTACAGGATCCCCTTCAATACCAGATTGTGGAGTACTCAGGACTATGACACTTCCAATTGTTTTTTCGGGTAGTTAATAGCTCCATAGACCTTTCAAATACACTGGAAATGCCAGGTTGGTGAGAAATAACATTGTGACAATGTTTTTGAAGGCAACCAGTAAAGTGAAGTTACAGCAAGAGAAGGATCTGTGGGGGATCTGTAGCCAGTGAACCTGTAAGCAACTCCCTTGGGTTTGGTAGGCATGAACATTGTGCTTTTGAATGTTCCATTGCGCTTGTGCCAAAGGGAATGCTTTGCACTTTCACAAATTTGGCAAAAGAGTTGTGTATATATGGATCAGTGGATCCAGACTTTGAGAACAAGGAATGAAACCCCTTTATTAACCTATTGTTTCAGAAACCTAAGCCAGTGGCTATATAGATTCATAGAATGGGTTGGGTTGGAAGAAACCTTGAAGATCATCAAATTCCAACACCCCTGCCATGGCCAAGAACACCTTCCACAAGACCAGGTTGCTCAAAGCCCCATCCAGCCTGGCCTTGAACACTTCCAGAGATGGGGCATCCACAACTTCTCTGGGCAACCTGTTCAAGTGTCTCACCAGCCTTAGGGTAAAGAATTTCTTCCTAATATCTACTCTAAATTTACCCTCTTTCAGTTTAAAACTGTTACCCCTTGTCCTATCACTACACTCCCTGATAAATAACCCCTCCCCAGCTTTACTGTAGGCCCCCTTTAAGCATTGGAAGGTGGAATCTCAATGAGAATGGAGTAGAGGGGCATAATCAGCTCCCTCGACCTGTTGACAATTCTTTTGATGCAGCCTAGGATACAATTGGCTTTCTGGGCTGCAAGTGCACACTGTCAGCTCATGTGGAGCTTCTCATCAACTTAACTCCTTCTCCTTAGGACTGCTCTTAATCAGCAAACTTGCTGATGCTACACTCAATCCCACTGTCCATGTCACCAGCAAAGATGTTGTATGATAAAGCCTTCAGCTCTTCTGCTGAGGAATATCTGTGCCAGCCATATACAAGAAGTATAAACAGCAGAAAATCACTACTAAATGTTTACTGAGATGAAAAAGAATTTTATTTTGTTGCTAATAATATTTCACACACAGAATCACACAGAATTGTAGTGGTTGGAAGGGACCTCAGAGATCATCGAGTCCAACCACAAAAAAAAAAAAAAAAAACAAAAAAAAAAACAAAACCCCCACGGGGACGATCACCTCTTGGGCTCTACTCGCCACACTGTTCTTGATACAGGCCAGGATGCTGTTGGCCTTCTTGGCCACCTGGGCACACTGCTGGCTCATGTTCAGCCGACAGTCGACCAACACCCCCAGGTCCTTTTCTGCCAGGCAGCTCTCCAGCCACTCTGCCCCCAGCCTGTAGCGCTGCTTGGGGTTGTTGTGACCGACCCCATAATATTAATTAGCAATCATTGTGGTAGTAACATGATGGACAACCTTTGTATGGCAAATTTAATGTCTGTTGCTTAGAAAGGAACTAGTACATTTTTCACATAGATTTTGAACTGCCTTTTCTGGTTAAGACCAAGGGGGGCTGTCACTGAGAGGAATGGGATTTGTCAGCTAGGGGTTCTTGTCCCAGGATGGTGGGGGTATGCACCATTATATCATAAGAATAGACCCACAGAGCCCTGGAAAGTGCAAAATTCGCCTTTGAACTACAAATCACACGAAAATCTCTGGGTATTGAATTTCATAGCTGCTTCCAGCTTAAATTAGCCAGGACAAAGTTGGACAGAATTCACAAAACTTTGAAATTAATTTTGGACCAGTTTAATATGAACTTGGGTTAGATTAAGTTTTAAAAGGAAGCTGTGTAAAACACAGCATTTTTTACTGATTAAATCAAAGGAAATAGAGTGGAGCAATACACAAAAAAATGTCATCCTAACACTGTGTCTAAGTTTCCTCATCCCTCTTGTTCTGGCAGAAATATGCAATAAATTTTGTATCAATCTGTGTGAAAGAAACCAAAACTAAACCCACTGTATTTCTCTGTGCTTTTGGAAAAAAAAAAAAAAAAAAAAAAAAAAGGGGAATC